GGTTCGATTCTTCTTCTTCGAATAATTATCATGAAATAATATTGTATCTCCATTAGAAGAGAAGTCACAAGTTTCAATGCAACAGTCAATCCACCATAAAGACCGATAATGACTGTTATAATATATATTGGATTAACTCGTTTGTTGATTGAATATGTACACGAGAGAGGTGAACATACAGCATAATATTGTTCATAAGACACATTGCTTTCCAATTTATCAATTAGAAGATTATCAACAAGACTTTGAACAGTTTCATTTGGAAAAGAAAAGCTTTGATTGAGTGAACGAATAACGATATTTGTAACATTATAAAGATATTTGATTTGATCAATACAACTAACATTGTAAAGACATTCTAAAGTTGATTGAAGAAGAGAGTCGAGTACATAACAACCAATACGAAAACCAGGTATTAATGAACCATTGATTAGTGCGAGAGAAGTACACATAGAGTTTGTACCACAAGAACAATTATTTTCATCACCATATGAACGTGGTGTAGCCCACACTGATGAAAACTGTATTCTGTTTATTGAATGAAAATACCAATTCGATTGAATAGTTGAAACAATTCCATTACCTTGAGCCATCTCACGAATAAAATCGAGCATACGAACAAATGTTCGACATGTTGATAAACGAAATTGAGTTATAATGGTTTCAGCTTGTGATTCAATGGCTTCACGAGATTGTACTTGTTTATTAATCAGTACTTCTGAGGCAAATGAAGTTAAACTATCGGTCAATGTTTGATTAGCAAGATTGCATAATGAAGACAATGTACGAAACTGTGGTAAAGCAAATAATTGAAAGTCATCATATGGATGTTCTTCATCGATTCCATATGAGTAAAGCATATTAATCCACCCAGAATTCATGTTAATAAAGTCACTCGAACAAAGTTGATGATAATAAGGACTGATCAAAATAAAAGAATTGTAGAGAATAGTTATATTCTGACATTGACATTCGAGTGTTGGCGAATATTGAAGATTCATTAGAAGATTATTGAATGTTTCTTGAGATGGATGTGAGATTGTTGTGTATTGAGTTTGAATAGAAAATGAATTATAAATAATAAGTATTGTAATATTTATTGTAAGTAATAAAATATAGATTCGAATTTTAATTATCTCTTTTCGACGACGATGATCATTATTATATGATAATTCACTTTCAAATATATTCAAATTTATTATCTTCATCTTAAATTTATTCCATACTAAGCATAGCCGTTGAAAAATTCTAGGAGAAGGAACTAAACGTAGAATAAATATCTCTTAAATACATTAATCAAATATATTGAGCAATTTTTATTATACTGTTCTTTTGACTTACCTATTGGATTGATATTGGGTCGATACAGATTTCGTATCCAACGGACAATGATAGGAATGGCTAATTTCAATGCCATTGAAACTCCACCAAATAAACTAATTAAAAGTGTTATAATATATGAAAAATCATTGTGTGATGTAATTGTATAAGAACAAGATTCCGGTGCACATTGTTGATAATATTGACTATATTGAATATTATCACCCCATTGTTCGAGCATGAGATTATCGACTATGACTTTAATAAGTGTTTCAGGTAAAAATCGAGTTGTATTTGCTTGAAGAATAGTTATATTAATTGATTGACTTGAACGAATTTGAAATTGAACAGCATCTAAACATGTTTGATTGAAAAAACATTCAAGTGATGATTGAAGAACAGATTGTAAGACAAAACAACCAATAAAGAATTGTGGTATATTAAATATTAAAGAACTTGGATAAGCCAAATCTTTTTGAGAATAATTATAAAAACCCATTGGAGACACACAATTGTCATTTAATGTACAAGAACAATTATCCCAATATACCTGTTTATAATAAAAGGCCAAATATTGATTAGTGGAATTAGCTGAGGTATAAGTTTCTAAACGAACATTGCCAGCTCCTACTGCATACATATTAATTGAATGAAATTGAATAAGTGTAAGACTTTGTTTAAATTGAGCTACTGTGTTTGAATGAAATTGATTAAGTGTTGTTTGTATATGTTCTATCATTTCTTTTTTAGATACAACCTGGTCAGTGATGTATGCAGATTGTTTAAAATTATACCAAGCATTGAATACTGTTGTTTTAGCAAGTGAACATAATGTTTGCAAAGCAACGAAAAATGTTTGACCAGAACCTTTAAAATCGACTATACGTTCTGCTTGATATTCAGCTTGCGTATTTTATCTATAACCAATCTCCATAACATGCGACGACGTTCAATTAATCGAATTTCTAAGCATAAAAATGCTTACATATTCTTAAATGTAATAGATATGCACTTACGTGTGTTATTTCTTGTTTGATTGTTTTTACGGTTATACCACCAAATAATGATATAAGGTAGACAAAAACGAAGTACAATAACTAGTCCACCGTAAAGACTTAATAGTTTTGTTATGATATAAAGGGCACTATTACGTTGAATGAACGTATATGTACATAGAATGGGAGAACATTTTTTATAATATTCTGTGAAAGAACTTATTGTTGACCATTTTTCAATAAATAAATTAGTAAAAAGTGTATCAATAGTAGTTCGAGGTGAAAATTGAGTTTGATTAACATCAAGTTGTTTAATATCTGTCATATTATTATTCGAAAGGAATCGTAGTACAGTATTTATACATGTTGAATCAAAAAAACATTCAAGTGTCGATTGAAGAAGTGATTCAATGGCATAACATTCAGCTACAAATCCAGGTACATTGACTATAAGTGACATCGAAGATGTATAGTCACCTTTAGTATCATAAGCAAATAAATCAAAAAAACCACATACTGATGATGAACAAGTAGATTGTAAACCACAATAACATATTGTGTTATTATTACTAGAGTAAAAATTCTGAATTGCATATGTTGCTGTTTTACCATTCGGAAAAATATAGAATCCTAAATATGATGAAGTTCGTAAAGCTGTTTGCAATTGATTAGTAAACGTTGTACTACGAACTAATTGAAGTAATTGTCGAAAAGCATTGCTCGTTAATGTTTGTATAAATGAACTTTGTGCTTGACTTTGAAGATCAAGTAAATATGATGAAAGCACAACCGGAGTCAGAAAAACATTTGAAAGAAAATCATCAATTGTATCATTAACAAATCTTTTAGAAAGAGAACAAAATGAAGAAAGTATTTGGAATTGACCACTTGCAGATGAACGAAAATCAAGTGGATAATAATAACTTATATTCGGATTAAATAATATATTGATCCAATTATCAGAAACGAAGATACTTGAACAAACTGGATGATATTCTGGAATTATTGAAATAAATGAACGATATGGAATGGCAATATCCGTGCATGGACATGCTAATGTATTTGGATATTTTCGATAAAGATTTTCGAAATCAGATTGAGTTGGATTTAGAACGATAATTGTTTGATTTTGATCATCCAACGCCGAATAAACTGTAAGAATGGTGAGAGTAAATGTTAATAATATAATAAAGATACGTGTTGATATAATGGCTTTTCGTAAATCAAGTTCTTCTGAACGTGTCATTTCAACTTCGAATAAATTCATTTGACTGATCGTTTGTTTTATCCATTTGGCAATATTCATAATAGTTTCCATCATTCTCTAGAATAATCGAGAAAAAAAACTGTCATTTTCTAATGGTGGTATTCTCCTATTTAAATAAGTGTTATTTCATTCTTCCTACTCACAGCTAATATGGACGTTATCGTCAAAAACACTTAGTTAAAAATTAAATAAGTCAAGAATAACGTCTACTAGCAATCTAGGGTTTTCGAGAAAAGAGAAATGAAAAAAAATCATTGTTGCATGCAAAATGTGATGATGTTTATTTTATCCATCAAGGCCACAAAAGAAATCATTTTTGATAAAACAAAAAAGCATTGGTTTCAATCAGTAATCTACGAAATTATTTTCTGTTTTTATATTTGATTTATTATGCAAATGTTTCATTGAATTATTACACAAATTTATGGTACTATTATCCTTTGTTTTATGTTTATATCTAGTTTGATGTTTATATTGGGTTGATGCAAAATTAACGACCGTTTTTATTGATTCTAAAGGGTGTGGATGTGGCAATGGCAATGAGTTCAAAGAACAGTCACACCCACATCCACACCCATCTTTTCGAAGCTTTCCTACTAATAATTTTTTTTTGTAAGACATATGTTGATAGAAATAAGAAATTATGTCGTTTTGGGTACTGTCATTTCTCTTCATTGCTGTAAAATTTGTTGCATAATTTGATATGAGCAAAGTTAGATCATCATTGACGCTATACTCTTTTCAACTTATCCGAAAATGTATTTAACAGTTAGTTCAAAAACAGAACTAATGCACGAAATTTATTTTACTTAATTAACGTCTTAGATATAGAATTAATTATAAAATAATTCTAAAATGGTCTAGAAATTCGAATTGATTTCTTGGGCCATTCTTTATCTACTACTTTCTTTTTAAACATTTCAAATATTAAAAGTTAATTTTCTTTAAAACATGAAAGATGCTTCTTCGAAGAAAAAATTTCTGATTAATTTAGCTAGCACAGTCATTTTGAAAATTGGATTTCTACTCGACTTATTTTACTTCGAAGATCGTTCTAGAAGAACATTTATTAATACAAATTTTTTTTTTATTATGCAAAACGAGTCATGACTGCTGTCTCATTCTTTATTTTGTATATTTGTTTATTTTTTTCTTTCATCTAATTTTGCGTCTGTATTCTTCACAGATATTTGATTTTGTTCAAGATAAGATTCTTCTTTGGAGAATGTGTCATTAAAATTCAAATTTCGTTTTTAGTAAACTTCAATGTTTTATAGAAACGACGATGAAATGTATATTATTGTAATTTAAAAAAAACAACTTATTAAAGATTTTTTTCAATCCAATCAAATTCAAAATAGTGAATATAATGTTTTCACAGATGAAAAATACTTACGGCTAACCAAAAGTTCTAAGCCCGGTATTATTTTACTGTAGAGTAAGCTTTAAAAAGTATCTTTGTGTATAGTCTTCGAGAGAAATGAACGCTCTATTTTTCTATGCTAGTTGATAATACTCCAGTTAATATCATAATAAGAAATTTTCGAAAAGACTTTTTTTCGTTATCATTTGTGCATGTTATATTAGTTCACAATGGACAAGTTGATTGCCGAATACTTTGTTTGTTTGAAAACAAAACAATGCAACTATAAAATAAGTAGTCCTACGTAAACTGTCGAGCTTTGCACCCTGCATCCTATGGTATATTGTGCTTGTAAATACAATGCATGAAAAGATTGAAAATTAATCTATCTCACCCGTTGTGAACTAATATAACATGCACAAATGATAAAGAAAAAAAGTCTTGTCGAAAATTTCTTATTATGATATTAACTGGAATATTATCAACTAGCATAGAAAAATAGAGCGTTCGTTTCTCTCGAAGATTATACACAAAGATACTTTTTTAACGCTGACTCTACGGCTAAATAATACCGGGCTTAGAACTTATAGTTAGCCCTAAGTAATATCGGAGGAAATTGATTAACATAGATAACATAATAACAAGGCACAAACTATTTGGAAAATGTGAACTCAGAAAAAAAAGAAAAGTTTTTATACACATTAGGAAGATCATAATTATAGATTGATGGAAGTAACAGAAGACAAAAACCTAGAATGAAAAAAAACGTCCACAACATAGAAAATTTTTTTAATTATTAAAAAAAGAAAAAGAAAGGAATGACTGGCGATTTTAAAAAAAATTATGTTGCACATAACTATACAGATCATTTAGAATATGTAGCAAATTTTATTTTATTTTTCGCTATGAAAAAGTCCGATTATATGAATGAACTAAATATTATAATTAGGTTATGAAATTGTATATTGAAAACTTTTTTTTGATTTCTTAATATTGATAAAATAAAAATTAATTTTTATTTTATATTTATATTTTTTTTTTGTATTGAAGAAATTTTCTATGAATCAATTAATTCATTATACCAATCAAATCATTGAATTCTCTTCATTAGAGGAATAATTATAGAAGATATTTTCAATTCTTGGATAATTTTAAAGATCAGATAAATATTTAATTAAGAAAAATATTTTTAGATAGATTTATTTAGGTAGTTAATAAATGGACTGTTTATGATCACATTAACTCTTTGAATCTTTTTTTATGAATTCTATTTATTTTAATTAATGTCTTCGATTAAATTTGTTTTCTTTTCTTTAAATAATCAAATATTAATATTCAAGAATTTGATAGTGAAATGAATTTCATTTAAAAATTTTAAAGTGATACAAGTTTTTTTCTTTTTGTTTATCTTTAAAATAGATGAGATTTAATAAGAGAAAATTCTCTAATCTTTATTAATAAATTAAATCGAAGAATAAAAGTTAAAAAAAATTAATTTAATTACTAAAATTCAATAAAATAATAAAAAGTGAAAAGATTTAGTATTTTAATGTGTTTTTTATTGAATACAAACAATTAATCTTATTATTATTGATTTACCCTTTTTTTCTAAGAAAAATAAATATATAAATATGAAGAATAATTTATAAAATTGATTCAATAAATATCATATTAAATTATTTCAGTTTTATTATTTAAAAAACAATTAGTTATTATCAATATGATAGAAATACTATTATAGATTGCCTACAACTGCTTTTTTCTTTAAATTCATTTTGATGAATTTGAGACAGATTATGGCTTTTCTTCAACTTAACCAATTTATTCGAAACGATTTGTGCTTCATTACTTCTGTGTATTCAAATTGAATTATATTCATTTATCATTTTCGTTATCATAATAATAGATTGACAATATTTATTTATATTTATGTTGCTTATAAATAATCAAAAACTTTTATTTGTTTGACAATGCTTGCCGAAATTATATATATAGATGAAATAATACTACTAGAAATAAATCAACAAGAATTAATATTTAAGACGTTTAATTTGGCAATGATTATAAATAAACACATCTTTTCAATTTCATTGCAGAGAAAATAAAATAGTTTATATTTCCTTAAAAAAGAATGTAGTAGAATTATTATTTTTCTATTAAAATAATTTAAATCTAACTTTTGAGATGAATTATATTTTAGCGATTATTATAATGAACTGTGTCATCTTTCTATCTACATATCTTATTGATTCTTTGATTCAATGAAAACTATGATATGAGGAAATTCTACTTTTATTCTAACATAAGTATTGATTAGTAGCTGATCACAAGAAAAGAATCATTTAAAGAAAATATATGATTAACAAAGTGAAAGCATTAATCAAATTATTCAGTAATAGTATATAATCGAAATCAGTCTATTCTATTTTATTTAACATGTATAACTTTACTACGACGTGGATTAACTTGTGCTGCATTTAATTTAGTTAATTATTGTCCATTAATATCAAAGTTTTCTGGGTTTAACCATCTTTGTAATTCTTTTTTTTTCAGGCCATTCATCATCAATAATACTAAACCATGCATTGTCTCTTGATCGACCTTTATATACACATGTTTTTAACTATGTACCTTCATATTGAAAACCTAATCGTAATGCTGCTCGAACTGATTTACTATTCAATGCATTACAGGACCATTGTATTCGTCTATAATCAAGTATAGCAAATGCATATTGTAATAATAAAAAAATTGCTTCAGTAGCTTGTCGAGTTCGTACTAATTGCTGACTGAAATTGATACTTCCAATTTCAATTGTACCATGTTCTTCATTAATTCTTAAATAACTTAGAAATCCAACAGCAATATCATTCACTAAAACATAATAGAATACAGAATTACTACTAGGTAATTCTATTGAATGTATGAATTCTTTGAATTCATCTAATGTTTCAAATGGTCCATATGGTAAATAAGTAAGATGAGTTTGTTCAGTTGGTTTAAATGCATCATAAAGTTGTTGAATAATATTGGAATCAGTTTTTGAATTAAGTAATTCAAGTCGACAATATTGACCTTGAAGTGTATGATATTTTGGATTAGTAAGTGGATGAGGACAAAGTGTCCAATTCAAAACAAAATCACCAATAGGTTGATCAATTGACGAAGTAATAGTTGAAAGTGATGATATTGTGTCATATTAATATTATTTAAGAAAAAATGACAAGAATAACGAGAAATTAACAAGTATTGTTTTATCTTTTGTATATCTGTATTTGATAACAATTTCAACCAAACACAAATTAATTTCAAATGTTGGCATTAGTCTAAGGTGCGCATAATGCAAAATTACAGCAAATTTTTTTTTTGGTTTTTTACCCATGATTGGATAGAGCTCGTCGAGCTGAGTAAGAATACATCTGTTTTAATAGGGGTGTGGGTATGGGTGTGGGTGGGTGGGTGTGGGTGTGAGTGGGTGGGTATGGGTGTGAGGTGTGGGTGTAGGTGTGGATGTGAATGTGGGTGTGGGTGTGGGTGTACTCTCTATTCTTCCACACCCACCCACACCCACACCCACACTCACACCCCCACACCCACACCCACACCCACACCCCACCCACACCCACACCCACACCCTCGATTCAGAAACTTTTTGAACGCACCATGTAAAGAATGCTAGAAAATTTCAAGC